TCTGCACTCACAGCCATGGCAGAAGCTTGCTCAGAGTCTGGCCGATCTCTGGCTAACATACTGCTGAGACTTGAATCTTTAGGCAAGTTCGACGCCGTCTACTCGTGTGACATTTGGTACACGCTTGCATCGAGCTCGGTACTAGTCCTTGATCTGGTATGCTTGAATAAGCTGGGTGGTACGGACATGTCCGAGTCCAGGATTCTGTTGTCTCAGCTCGCAGATCTGGCACAGCGACATAGGCGAAATCCATTCATGCCTGGTACCATTGAGAAATTTGCTTCCCTCGTCCCGGAGTTGCATTCCATGGCCGACTCCCTAGCTTCGCCCGTCAGATTTGCGGAACCGGAAATGGAGACCCACGACACCGGACCGCAAAGCTCGATCCCAGCGCAACAACTGTCGCAGCCAGACGCAGTACCGCACATGTACCATCAGTCACCACCGGGCGTGGGCACATATATGTATGCGGATCCTATGCCAGGTCGTATATACCCAGACCAGGCCTACATGGCGCCCTCAATGCATCCTAATGCCCGGTTTGATAGAACGACGCAGATGCAGTTTATGGACTTTACCATCAACAACATCCATGAGTGGAATTGGGCGGATATTGGGACGATGATCGGTCCTGAGGGCGTTCCGAATATGCCTGGAAACCCTCATGTGCATGGGCCGCAACCGACGGGGCCGAATTAATCGCCGCCGACGAGGACGATGTAATCTTGAGAATATACCCCAAATGCGAGAGCGAGTTCAACTAGACATGACTGGATATCCTGACCAATGTGATAACTGGCTTCGAATGTTTACTCTTCCGTATCTCAACCAAGATTACAACCACAGGGTCTACCATGAGTTGAGAACGATAGAAGGTGCTTCTTGTTTCGTCCGCAACTACTCGCAAGTCTAACCTGGTCAGTCGAAGAATGAGTTTAGGGCTGGTAGGGCTGAAAGCACGTGGGCTTGGCAGGTCCGCACCAATCACATCTCTTGCTCGTACCCGCACTCGCACTCGTATCGCACCGTACTCGGACTTTGACGTTGCCAAGAAGAAATGTAACAACGCGTACGAGACGGCGGAGCATACAGACGTACGCGTTGATGCAGGTACTAACAAGCAGAAAATGTATATTATGCTTGACGTACTTCATTGTACCGTCTCACAACAACGAAGATCAAGTCTTGACGCCGACCACTACGATCAAAACTACGACCGAACTACGATACGACTTGTACGAGACATTGACGAAATCAACACCATCTTCTTCACAACTTCAACATGGGAGTGTTCGATCTCCTTGATAAGCCCGTCTTTAGCAGCCGCTTCAAGTTCCCTATTCATATCGCTCAAGTCGTTCTCGTTATTCTCGCCATCGCGCTTACACTTCCTCGTCTGTTCGTTACCAATGTTCCGCGCACACGAGCAAGCACATATGCGTTAGGCATGGTATGTTGAAGCGTCTTATTCTGCCTACACTATTGAGTATCGATCTGGTTACTAATACTTATACCTAGGGTGCCAAATCCCTCATCCTACTCATATACCTCATACTTTCGGAGCACAGTCCACGTTTCCAACGTTGGCACAGTTACAAAGCGCATGCCATAATCAGCTGTATTGAGGTTGTGTTCTGGAGTGTCGTTGCGGGGTTGATGTTTCAAACCAATCTCAGCTATTGCAAAGGGCCAACATGCGGTCTTAGTTGGGTCGTAGTCGTCATCGCCATCGTCATCGTGTGAGTTGGGTAACTTTCTCATCGACTCTTAAACTAACAAATGACAGCAATTCTGAGATCATCGTCGCAGGAATCTGCATCAAAGAATTCCGCGAGTGGAAAAGTGCAGGAAAGCCAAAGTCAACGAGGCAGCAGCACACCCGTCGCCCCGTATTCGACGAGGAGGAAGTCGTTCAAAGCAGAGTCGAGCGCCCGAAAGAAGCGCCAGTCCAAGCCGCCGAACAAGCGTATTTCCAGTCTGAGCGACGACACTCTCAACGCAGCCACTCCAGGCATCACGGCGAGTCACTATGGGAGACTCAGCATACTCCGCGATCCCCCCGAAAGGAGCGTCAACACCATTCTCGTCGCTCCGAAGATCGTACACGTGAGCGGGAAGAGCGTTCCATGCATGAGATGGAGGAGCCACGTTATGCTGAACATCAGCAATATACGCCGAGTGAGCCGCGGTACTAGTGTGAGCATTGGATACAGATGCTTATCATCACGATGATAATTTAAAAGACATCACGAACAACATCCGGCGTTGGTCATGATTTCTGGATGCTATCTAGGTGTTTTCAAGGCATTGGAGTGTATGGAAGGCTTGCAAACGGGTGTAAAGGAGTACAATGATCTGTACCAAAATTATCATGTATACGTCTTGATGTCGGTCTTTCTGGAATACAAGGGCAAGAATAAACATTTCTACGTTGAAAATAATAGAAGACGCATGAGATGCCAATGGAAGCTTCCAGCGACGTGGGATTCTGAACAAGTCCTCTCGATGTGAGTAGGGGTATATGGTGAATACGCGGATTATGATAGTGTTCAGCTGCTGCAAGAAAAAGGCATGTCTTTGTCAAACGTCCTTAGGGTTGAACAGTCTCAGGCGTAGATCAACACTGTTGCATATCTCGCCGCTTTATCATGAACCATCTGTTCACCCATAGTATCATGTAGTCGCCCTGTCGTGGTCTTTCCCACCACATTCGTTCATTCTACACGCTCGAAATATGAATATGCCTCATTTACGATATCTATTCCTGTTCTGCTTCATAGCCAGTCTACATGACCAAACACAAACTTAGCAACAGTGATTCCACGAATTTTGCCCGATCCGATGTTCCTGGCGTTCGCCTAGGCTCGTTGACAAGTGTGGCTGCATCGGCGTCCGTGTCTGCGCCTGCTTCTTGCGACGCGTGCATGGCACAGCCAGGTGTTAAGAACGTGCCTTCGGATTGTGCTTCTTAAAAGTCAGTTGTGTAGTGGTTGTATCATAGGGCAGGATGAACCCCTCATACCAGAGCTTGCAGTAGGAAGGGGTGATGTCATGGCGAGATTGTACTCAAGTGGAGTTGGTCGGCAGAGAAGAGATGATTGAACCAATGCCAGACACCTACAACACAAGTTAATATGATAGCGATACATATCAACTTTTCCGGTGACGAAAGTCGCGAGGCTGAGGATATTTAGCCCTCTAATCCGGCTGTGAATGCGAGATACGAGTCGGGATGACCGTGGCCAAGCGAGAGGCGCACACTCAGCGTGTGGCTTGGAAGAAGTGAATTGTCAGCAGGTCAAGACATGACTTGGTTATTGCACTTGATACGTAGCGAATGACCTCGTCTAGATGATACTACGTAAACGAATCGCCGCTTCTCATCACCCCACGTGCGCTGCTTCCTATCTCATTTACCGTACAGACTGCGCTTTCTTACGACGTGCGTGATGATTGTCTGGGTGGGATACGCGTGAGGCCGTTCGACAAAAGCGTCAACCTTGGCCTGATGGTACACCTCTGGCGGTGATGCGATGTATGCATCCAGTCCCCCGCAGGCGGACAACCCTGAGCGCCGAGGATATCATGGCCGTCTCCTGTACTAGACTGACAATCGAAAGCGACTGAATGTGTCTTGCCGTGTTCCAGTGATTGAACACATCTGCTCATGCGCTTATCGTGATCACCCCTCAATCATCCAACAAGTCCAGCCAAAGCACTTTCTGCTCTTTGAAAGACTCATCCTCGATCACACCGCGGAACGCCACCTCAGCCTCCAGCAGGTCTGCTTCAACGTTTCTCTCTCCCATATCTTCTTCCCCGTCACTGCCACAGCTATCGTTGCGCTTCTCTAATGCGTCAAGCATAGCCTCGCCCTTGGTCTCAAGCTCTTCAATGCGCTCATTAGCCAACGCCAGTGCTTCTCTCAGCGTAGACTCGGTGTCTGCGGCGGCTTGTGTAGTGGCCGAGGTGCCCTGAGATGTGTACCTATGCAGCGTGGCCTTCAAGCTCAGATTGCGCTGCTGCACCTTGTCCTTGGTACGGTCGCTCTTCTTAAGACGGGCGATGGTACGCATAGCATCGTTGAGCTGATCAACAAGCTTGTCGTGCGCGGAGACGAGGACCTGGAAGCGCGAGTAGAGTTGCCCGCCAGCTGTCCTATCCTCTTCATGGCGGAATCGTAGATTGGCGTTTTCCTGCTCGATCTCGGAGATAACGCAAGTTTGGTGCTCAAGGTCCTGATGGGCGGCCTTGAGGTCCTGTTCTTGCTCCAAAGCGAGCGAGCGCCAGTTGTCTCGGTCACGACGGAGGCGAGCTGTAAGTGATTGCGCCCAGGACAGTTCACTTAATAGACCTTGCTTCGATCTTGAGGTTGTCTGTGGGGACTTTGGAGATGGGAGGGAGTGTTGGTAGCTGGTGGTGAAGCTTCCCTCACTGGGTAGGCGAAATTCGAGTGTCAGTGGGCTCGTGGGCGCGGAGGCATGTCGCGTGAACGATCTGAAGAGTCGCGACTTTGGGTTTGCGGTGACGATATGCGCTTCAGATACAGCGGCTGGCATTTTTGGCGTTGTAGCTGCTGGTGTTCGGGTACCAAGGGGATGTGACGAGGGTTGCATATAATGGTGGTACTACAAAGAAAGTGAGACAAAGAAATGGTCTCAGGTGTAGACGTTAATATGTACAGCCAGCAAACGGGTGTGCTGTTTGAATGTGGGGTTCAACCCTGGGTGACTGTCGCTGCAGGTCGCGTGTTGTACGACGCGTGCCCACGTGCGAGCGCGATCGGATTGCCTGCTGCTTCCGCATTCGCCTCGGGCATGTACAGTACGAAGCTACGGATGCGCAAATGAAAATGGAAAGATCACCCGAGGAACGTATGAAGACGTGGTGGAAATATGATGGAATTCAAATTACACGAATTATAGAAGGCACGATGACGAAGATGCTGTTACTTACCAGGCGCTCTGATGCGACAAATACAAGAGAATGTATGCAAGATCTCACAGAGCTACGGCTGCCGCGAAAATGCCCACAGCACCCATCATCGCCATCGCAGTCGGAAGAGATCCAGCAGGTGCCAAACCGGTGCTCGGTGTTGAAGCGGCACCGGATTGAGACCTCGAAGGCGATGTCGCTCCTGTTCCTGATGCCGAGCCAGTAGATGATGGTCCTCCAGTCGCTGAGGCTGATCCTGGGGAAGACGCACCAGTTGCGGTGACTAATGCAACCACCTGGTACGCCTCCATCTCCTGTATCTCGCTCTGCGACAAGACGCTCGTGGACGCGACCTGGTCGGCCTGGTCCGGGACGTATCCGCTCTGGGTGACGTCGCATGTCAAGTCTGCCGTTGACATTGCGCCCTGCCAGCTGCAAGCCATGTCCATTGTCCACGCGCCTGGAGTCGGGTCCGTGAGGTGCATCTCGTACGTCTCGGGGCCTTGTAAGATGGTATACGGCTCGCAGAAGGAGTAGTCCTCGTTGGAATCATCGTCCTGGCGGCGCATGCGAGGCGCGGGTGTAGGTGAGGGAGTCTTGGAGGGGTCGTCTGTGATCGGTACTGGCAGTGTTAGTGCAATCTCTCGCGACGGGTGCATGCCGTACGAAGATCAGACGGCACGACTGACACGCCGACTCCATCGGACGGACAGCTGTTCTCGTAGGTTGTTGCGCTCGCATCTGAACCGAGCACAGTGAGGGTGCTGTCGAATTGGAAGAAGTTGAGGATCGTCGCGGACTCTTGCGCCATGGCAGCGCCGGCGAGGAGCGGGATGTAGGTGGAGGGACGCATGTTGGATGACTGGCGACGGCTGATGGAGAGGCATCGCTGTCATGGTGGACTAGGCCTGAAGTTATACATTCTCTACCTGTCGAAATCAATACTTCGTGGTGTTACCGACGCCACCATGCCTTGCAATGTTAGGCGACGAATCGCAGCCGCGGTGTGCCTGGCGTTGTGATGATGCATCAGCAAATACGAGAGGCGGCGAGACGCGCTACCTGGAGTTGTTGCTTCCTAAGCTCAGGGGCGCGCGTGGCTGAACTGTGATCGACTCATACTGACAAAGATGTTACGGTAGCATGGTGGCACTCTATCCGAGGGAAGACCAGACCCAGCCCTGGAGGTGTTTAGATCGCTCCAGAATGTTGTTTACTTCTTTTTCCAGCCAACGTAGACTCTAGCGTAGCCGACTGGTTTCTTTTTTGGTATGAGGCGGTGGGGACAAAGGGGTGGTGATGGAGGGTGCGACATTGAGGTCGTGACACGCATCGACCCGACTTCAACGCACCACATTCGTGTCACAACATGTGGGCAAAAAGAAGCCCACGCCCTTGATGGGTGTTTGCATCGATGGGAAAAGAAAGAGATCACTTTTGCACAAACAGCAAAAAGAAAAAACACTTTTGAAATGGCAAAAAGAGACATTCCGACACCGGGAATCGAACCCGGGCCTTGCCGGCACTGCGCTGCAACAGCGAGCTTACTCTGCGATGAGAGCGGCAAATCCTAGCCACTAGACCATATCGGAAATTGATGGAAGGAGAGCACAATTAGACATATATAACTTCAGCAAAACTTTTCCGACGAGAATTAAGGGGGTTGAAGTTTGCCGGACACGAAAAGTTTGCAGACCGACACGACACGGGCTAGACAGCAAGTCATCCATCGTTGAGTCATCATCGTATGGACTAGAGAAAAACTGGTCATCATCCATTACGTCGTTATCAAGCAGCAGCGCAGTGGACAGCCCAAAAACGCCCAAGTAGGCTGAAGGTCAACAGCGTCGACGACAATCCCATAGCAACTTGAACCCACACATTGTCAATTTGAACACGAAAGAACCATCCCATCATCCCATCACCGGCGTATCCGCTCTCTCCGGCAATGACTGCGCGATGGGCGCCAACCCTAGCAGCTTCATGCCATTCTCCAGCACGACTGCAGTCGCTTCATAGAGCGCCGCCAGACCGGGGGTGACCTTCTCACCCTCAGCACCCTCTGGAAGACATTCAGCAAGCTGCTCAGTCACACTAGCGAGATAAGTAACAACACCAGCCGGCTCGAGCGAATGGTAGGTCGCAATCACAACCTCCGGGTACTGGGCCAGAATGCGCAGAAGATTGGCCGGGTCTTCTTCAGCTAACACTTCGTAATCTCCATCCGAGAGTTCAGCTGCGTCAGCACCTTTGAGCAATTGGCGGAGCTTAGCCAGCCAGTACTGCAGATCCGGACCCGATCCAAGCTTGAAGGAGGCCATCGCACCAGTATCGAAGGCATGTGTTGTGGTCAGGCGAGTCGAGAGCTCTTGCACAAGCAGTGACGATGTCGCCAATCCTTCCCTAGCATCGTCCAGTCCACCTACCACTTCGAGCTTCTCGGCATCGGCTTCCGACAACGCAGTCATCGCTTCCTCACATGCGTCCAATATACCCTGCGGCTTGTACCCTTTACCAAGCGTCGCCGCCATTTTCGATACCTCACTGAACTTGACATGCTGGAGCTTGTTGGCGAGCTCCTTCATGTCCATCGCCTCCAACACCTTGATGAGCTGAGTAAAGTGGACGCTATTGTCGCTGGCAACGACGTATACCATCTTGTTGAACGAGTACTTCCTCGAACGCTCCAACACCGCGGCGAGGTCTCGAAGAAGGTATGTGCTGCTACCGGAGCGGTCGCGGATGATGGCCGTACCAGCCTTCGCACCTATGTTCTGCATGTGGATGATCTGAGATCCTCCACTCTCCTCCGAGATACCCTTCTCCTTGAGTATCTGTTCGACCTCCACCATAGTCTCAGGCTTGATCTGCGACTCGCCGGAGTACTCATCGAAGCGCACACCAAGTCGCTCGTAGAACTTGGTGTAGTCACCGATATTGACATCTCGCACGCGCTTCCAGAAGGCAACGAGCTCCTCATCACCCTCTTCCAGCTTCTTGAAAGCTTCGTTGCGTTCTGCGAAGATGCCCTTGCTCTCAATCTCGGCCTGCGCCTCGCCTGTATCTTCTCCTTCCTTCGCCACTTCGTCACGCGCCGCCTTGCTCGCCGCCTGTTCGGGCTTGAAGTCTTCTTCGATCTTGTGGTAGACCTCCAGGAGGTGTCCGACCGGATCCGTCTCGTACGCCTCTTCCGAGCCGTACTTCGACCAGCCAACGTACAACAGCGCAATAGGCTTGCCCCAGTCGCCAAGATAGTTGATACGCGTCACTTCCCATCCCATCGCCTCGTATAGTCGGCCGATGCATGCGCCGATGATTGTGCTCCGCAGGTGCTTTCCTTGGAACTCGCTGGTGATGTTCGGGGAGGAGAGCTCGACGACGAGCTTCTTGCGCGCATCCCCAGGAGACGGGATGGATCCGTAAGCATCTTTCCGACTTGAGATGTACGGTAAGAGGAGGCGGGTTAGCGACTCTGGCTTCACGAAAACACGGAAATGAACACCCTCTAGAAATGGCAGGACGAAGAGGGGATGGTCGATTGGAAACTAGGCTGACTTAGCGATTGCTATGTCTTACGTTGTCGAACGCGGAAGGTACGTACCTTCTTCATAAGCCCAACAGCCACTTCTTCAGCTTTAGCACCAGGCTGGAGCTTCGGGAGTATGACCGCCAGGTCGCCATTGAAGATGTTGTTCGGCCATTGAATGGACTTGTAAGCTACGTTGATGTCACAGCCGACAGCGTCTGCCAGTACTTCGGCGAGGTAGGTGCGGCACACGTCGAGCGGATTGGCAAGCACTTCCGCGTTATTGACCCCAGGCATGGGAACATCGAGATTCAAAGCACTGAGCACATTTTCGAGTGCCTCCATTTCGACGTATTCCTTTGCTACGTTCCTTGCTGACGACAGCGTCTGAAAAGTGTTCCAGTTTTGCGCTTCAAAACGAGGCTTCCGGAAAACGATGCGGTACCGAACGATGAATCAAACAGAATAGAGCCTTATGGCACTCAGAATGGGTCCAACAGCCTGAAATGCTCACCGGTGAATCTTCTCAGCCTCATCGTAGAAGCGCAGGCTGCCACGTCGGCTCAGACAGCGAGCCTTGGACTGTCGTGTTTCTCGACAATTGGTCTGCCTCATGCACCTCATCAGCCATAATCAATGAGATGAACGTATGCAGTATCTTGGATATGTGCGTATCATCAGTAGGATACTGATTCGTCCCATCACCCGCCCACTCGTATGTAACAGGGCGGGGTAGGTGTTGTCATCCTCCTGCGACCAATGGCGCGTCTTCCTTCACACATTCTAGCTTAAGTTTCCTCATGCAGCCGTACGTCACAAGATCATCGCGATACTCGAATGGTATCAGACCTCTTAGACGAGTCCATATACATTGCCGCTACTTCTCCGTCCTCTCGGACTACGAATGAGTCTGCCTCCGCTGTATGACATGCTCGCCCGTTGCGGTCCTTGTGACATTCGCGCGACGGATTTCCCTCATGCTCTCCGCCCGAGTTGCAATAGTACCGCACCATTGAGGTCGGTACATGTGTCCTTCCCCGACGACTCGCACAAGATGAACCAACAACATCAGCACCAAGTTGAACCCGGTAAAGGAAACCAAGTTTCGCTTGAAGTCCATGATGGGTTTTTCAATAGCGAAGAAGGATATAACAAGACCGAGCGGGCCGAGCCACTGCACCATGAGCATTGCGATGTAGTTGTTCTGCTGCATCATTCGAGCCCCGGTGGACGTTTCTTCTTTTTCGCACTGACTCTGTACGCGCGACAATGTTCTATGGAGCCGCCTCAGTTCTTCGAATTCTTTGTTGATGTTGTGAAGCATCTTGGGGAATCTCGAAGCATCGGATCCGGCGGTTGAATTAGAAAAGTAATGGTAGTCTCCGTTTGCTCCGAGGAAGATGTCCCACACATCCAGTATGTCTTCCAGAACCGGCAATGTCCTGCGTAAGACGCCAAGCAGGCGATGATGCCACCTCAAAGGGTGAGACATGCGCATAGTGAAAGCAAGCTCTACAGTCAAGATGAACCCTTCCCATTCTAGGCGTACTTGTCGGATCCGATGACTCAAGACCAACAAAAAGTACTCTCTCGGATCCCATATCGGGCGGTTTGCGTCCTCCTCCCCCTTGGTCATTTGATCGGCGTGCTTTCCATCCACCGAGAACTCATTCTCACCAAATTCTCGGTCTGCGTCAAATTCGGCATCCTCGAATCCATAAGCAACATATTGCTTGACACTGGTACCACAGATCGTGAAGGAAATCTGAGCGGGATAGAGACCAAGCTCGCCGGCCTTACTTGTTTCGGGCAACACTTGGGCTACAAATGACAGATCCATCCACTCTCGACGGGGTTTGAAATTGGTTCGCTTTCCGTGGAATGTATCTGTTCGCATCGCAAAGAAGGGCAGATGGAAGCTGAGTTGATAAGAAGAAAACCCTTTTGTCTAGTTATCGATCAACAAGCTGGCCATCAAGCTGACACGTAGGATATCTTACGGAAAGGCTAATGCTCATGGATGGGCGGAGAGTATGGTATTTGACAATGACATCCGTGAGAGCCTCATACTGATGATGCGACGCTGTCTCAATGAGCGCCAAAAAGTCGTGGCCATCAGGATTCAATATGAAGCTGTATCTCGGCGTCAGCCCAGCTGTAGTCCAACCACAGTAGGCGGTACTCACATCAGGCGCCGGTCTGAGTCTGGTGAGCTCTCGGCATTGAATCGCTGATATGATCTGTCAGCGATGGCTCGTCAAGGACGGAGTTGCAAACAAGTCTAGTAGTATAGGTGGGTAGTTCTTTTGTAACACCAATAGCACAAGAGAGTACGCTGTCGTGGAGACGGTGTTGTGGCTTTGATGAGCTCTTAAGATCCAAACAAGGAACCCAATGAAGTCGGGAGATTGGGGAGTAAATACCTCTTCCGAAAGGAAAGTGTACAACATCTTCGCTGTCAATGGTACCCTGGGACATCTCGAGGTAGGGGAATATCGAGCTGAAGCGCTCTGTGAGTAAGCGTCTCCTCTGACACCTGAATTGGAGTTCGTAGCAGCATCTTGGTCCACGTTGCTCCGGGATTGTTCTGGAAGACGAGCCAATCCGCCATCGCGAAGTTCCGCGATAGGGGGCGAAGTAGATGAGTTTGGATAGTATGCGCTATAAGTCCGGTCGTCCAACCAAATGGTTTCCTTGGTGGGCTCATCGAGGTCAATCTTCTTGATATTGCCGTAGAGTCGGATTATGGTCTCTAGGAGTGGTGAGATGAAGTCGTCTTCGTAAACACGCATAAAAAGCTCAATGCTTCCGACTTCAAATTCCGATAGCAGAAGTCGCAGCTCCTTCACATAGGGAAGATCCTCCTTGGGAATGGAGTCATTGTCGTAAGAATCGCTCCATCGCTTTGCAAATGAGAAAAAGAAAGGTTTCTCGCTAACAAGGCCACCTAAAGACATGGCATCCCTTTTTGAGTCAGTGAAGCTCTCTAACCAAGGGGCTCCTTGTTGCGGTGCACATACCTGCACGAAGGTGCTGTGGGAGCAGCTTGCCCGTCTTTGTAATGGTCATGTGTCATCTGAAATGATTCGCGTTGGAAAGGTGTTTCCAAGATACACGAGTTGCATTTTCTTTGACACACTCAACATGCCAAAAAAGGTGAAGTGCGAAGCCGGATCTCGATATCTTTGAAGAGATACTCGGAGGCTAATTTATATGCTCCTGAGCACTGTACGGAGTTGAACGCACGACACGTTGCGCGGTGTTGCCTCTTTGCTGTCTCATGGTCACACGGCACGGTGTGAGCGCATGGGCAAGCACATTGCAGTGTCGGAATTGAACACGTAGCTAGCTGCGGGCGTTATTGCATCACGAGGTTTTCGTGAGGCTTCCATCTTGCCTTCTTTTCAAAAGGCGTGAGTGGTTATGCTACATAACGTGTAGCCGCCGCGTTACAATTCATATTAGCCTCCGACTTCTGCCGGTAAGGCAAATTCCGGACGGTACGAGGAGTACTGAAATGCAGGAGACTAACCTTTAGATTCAATTACCACGAGCTCAGTCTTGTGCGACACAGGGCCAGCGAGGACCGGCGCTGTGGTGCGATCAGTGGCGTTGGGCTCCGGCGATAGCCGAATCTCACTGCATGAAGGACGTTGGGCATTTGGACTGCGCCAGCACTCTCGATGTTGCAGATTGCCTTGCGAATCATATACTGAAGATGAACGATTGCGACGAGAGTGCATACCGATGAGCGGCACTGAGATAGTTGGGAAATCCGAGGCTAAAGCACTGGGCATATCATAGCCAGCCACATTAGGAAATGAGAAACTGATACGTGCCAACTCATAATGATCGCTCTGAACGCGGGTGTGCTTCATAGCAAGCGTTGTACAAGTCATCAGATCAGAATTTGAGAGAGAAGTTGGGAATAGGGCTGAAACTGTTGTTTCGTTTTGGGGATATTTGTAGTCGATGGCAACAGAGTGCTTTGCTGTCTTTTCACTGCCTCAGAAGGCTGTCGTATCAAAGCTAGACACGCGTTAGGAAGGTACGCCAAGCTATGACACATCGCAGAGACCTGGTAATCGCGTGGTAACTCACCGGTTTCTCTTCCCAATGTCTGGCACCCGGTACGCCCTGCTGCAGAACCACGGAACTGTCAACAATAGACATCGTGTCCAACGCTTGTTGGCTCCGTCTCTGTATGTTCATACCCGACGATAAAGGCTTGGGTTGACTATCATACGCAGCAGACCGGGATGTTGTCCTGCTACTCAAACTTCGTGATGATAGCCCTCGTCTCGAACAGATCAACCGACCCCCAACATAGGAGTGAGATCCAGCGGCAGATGCTCGAACCTGGACCCGTGTTGTCGTGCAGTATGCGCATCTTCCATAACCACATCCCGGGCAGCCGGCATACGCAATAGGTATGCTTGATTTCCCGCATTGACACTATAAAGTCAGGGTCTGGATCGCGAACAATCGCATGAGGCGTCCACTCACACAATGCCATATGTAGACATGTTTCTTCTTGGCCTGTATCGGTGTGAGTGGTATACGCCTCTATTCGCCGACTCTTTCGTCTCGAACATACCAGGGTTTGGATAGGTGGAATGTGAGACCTAATATATAGATATAAGAATTCCATTTAGATCCCAATCGAGGAGGACGCATACCGTCTCGTCGGTCTTAGTTGTTCAGCCATTGACTCAATTTGTTATGACTATCTTGTTTCTTCTGCCTTCTAGAATATCAACACGGATGCAAATGAACGACTATTAAGACGAGTTCTCTGGCATAGAGGAACCTTCGCCATTTATGAATGGATGTCTCACCGCTTGATCTCCGAACGCCGTACAAAGCTTTCGACGAAAAAACAAGAACCACTGCTTTGGCTTCCTCAAGGTATTTGTACACACTGTGTAGCGTCTTCAGGGACTACGAGGTCGTGCGAGTCTTGACCGTGACCATCTCGTGACACTCTCCGAGCTGTTGTATGGCATCGCACGTTGATGGGTATACCAGTGCACAATTTTAACATAAGATGGCGGGGTACCGACGTGTTGGCGAGAACCAATGACGAAGAATCATGCAGCGTGCAATGTCGTACATGACCGATTGTCGGAGCTTCGTACCGTGTGTTGGTAAGATCCAAATCTCCTGGCTTCTCGATGTACAGCATGCTATTGTTTAGGAGAAGAGGATTGCGAGTTGCGTGTGTTTCGCCGCCCGGAGGGAAGAAAGATGGGAGTCTTCTGGACGACAAGTAAATTCGGTGCATTAACATCGCCGTCGGGCAGGGTAGAACGTGTTGCGACACACGTTGGATGGTGAGAAAACATGGTACAAACCTCGAAGCACGCGACGGCTGTGGAGGGGGGCCGGTGATTTATGGAGGTCGCAGATCTTAGCGCGAACTGCGTTGTCACGGTCGCGCAACGAAGACGCGTCAAACGATCTTTTGACTTCGGACATACGCGCTCCCGCACAATTCGATACTCATCGCGCGACTAGCCATCTTATAAGGGAACTGCCAGATTCCCGCCTACGCAGTCTCCTCCAGGCCCAGAAAGTATTCGGACCCACTCTCGAACTATGGACCTGCAAGCAGTGACATCACGACTGCAGGAGCGACTGCAGTATGCGTCTAGAGCTACCTAGAGGAGGTTTGATGGCGACTCCATTTCTCTCAACAACTTGGTATGCTCCTACCTTCTCAATTCCTCCGCTCATCGCACTCTGCTCTTCGGCACATCAGTACTCGTCCATTGCTGACAAGTTCACTCAAGTATTCTCCATTCATCGCTACCCCGCTATCCATCATGTCGGCGAACTCTCTGAACATCAATTCGACTCTGAGTCTTCCGAACTCGCAGTACAAGATTCCACAAATCGGTTTCGGAGTCTACTTGTCCCCAAAGGACGTCTGTGTTGCCTCATGCAAGAAGGCCTTCGAGGCAGGATACCGTCATATCGACACAGCCCAGTACTACGCGAACGAAGAGCAAGTTGGTCAAGCGCTGAAGGAAAGTGGTCTTCCTCGGAAAGATGTGTACATCACGTCCAAGATCCTAAGCGCTGGAGAGGACGTCGAATCTACATACAAGAAGGTCGCCGAGAGCGTTGAGAAGCTTGCCGGAAAGGATGGCTACGCAGACCTATTTCTTATCCACAGCCCCAATGGAGGCAAGGAGGCCAGAAAGTTAATGTGGCTTGCGCTGAAGCAGGCGCAGGAGAAGGGCATCGTGCGCGACATTGGTGTCAGCAACTACGGCATCCAGCACATCGATGAGCTCGCCTCCATTGATAGCAAGGCCAGCCTACCTGCTGTCAACCAGATTGAGGTTTGTCAAACCTCTCACTTGATTGAACAACCGGACTGATAGATACGTTTAGCTCCACCCCTGGTGTCAACAGCGTGAGGTCGTCGAGTACTGCCAGTCCAAGAACATCGTCGTCGAAGCCTACTGCCCGATCGTCCGCAACGAGAAAGCCAACGACGAGACGCTTGCCAGCATCGCCAAGAAGCACAACAAGGAGCCAAACCAGGTTCTCATCCGATGGAGTCTGCAAAAGGGCTACGTTCCTCTTCCCAAGAGCGACACGCCATCTCGCATTGTTGGCAACGCCGACATCTACGGTTTCGAACTTGACAAGGACGACATGGCTAAGCTGGACGGTCTGGATCAAGGAGCCAAGGGCGCTATTGTGCAGGCCGTAACCAATGCTTAACTCGCGTCTGTTGCCTCGCACATCATTAACAGGCGTGCAGGTGAATAACAGGTCGAGGGACATGGCGAATGCTTCCGCAGCTGGAATCAGTGCTATGCGTACGATGTTGGAGGAAACCTACGTGGACCGGGTACCCACGTACTTCACGCCTGGCCCTCGGTTCAGTGTACAATTATCAGACTGGATTGGCCGACGAGCATAGCTTCTCGCTCATGGTTGGTTTACTTGGATCCTGTGTCGTGTAGCTAGCTCACGTACCCACATATGGCCTGAATGCAGATTCCGTCAACTAAAATTAATTATATGCTCACACGTGTAGGACACCCCTCAGAGGGCTAGAATTGAAGGGTAAATACAGTTGTAGCTATGTTGCGTGAAGGCGTAGCTGTGGATGCTGTGGAAAGCAGTTGCATCTCCCTCGTGGCAGGGCGTGATCGTGTTTCATGTTGTCAACACGACGCTGCGGAGATGGGACGATAAAGGTAGTCGTAGTCTCTAACCAAAGCCAAGCTGGATCGTTCCGTTCACGCATTCGCGTTCCATGGTTCCAAAACCTGGAATACCCCACCATCTGGATCAGAAACCCCGCCACCCCACCTCATGCGACCGAAAAGTTTTGCACCCTCGCTCCTTCTTCCACACACGATCGCGCCTGCTGATTTGCAAGAGACGCACTTCCATTATAACTTATGCTAGACTCAAATTCCTATCGGTTTTGTAGTGTACGTTGTTCAACATCCACTTCTCGCTTGCCCCCGCTAATTACCATACAGGTAGCGGTTATCACTCCGGATTCTGATCTCAAAATCAGTGTCTTCCGGCAACCCCGGTTCGATTCCGGGCAAGACCTTTCTTTTTGTTTTGACTATGTCCTTTTGCTAGTTAGTGAAGGGTCTCGAATGCTTGATGGACGGTCTGGGGGTGTTTCAGAGTTGTGGTGGTGGTGGGATTTTTTTAGAAGTATCATTAGCTTCCGGTGTGTGGGAGTCGTAACATGGAAAAGTACGCGCCGACGTTTCATGCTTGCTCAACCTGGAACCCAAGGTGCGCTGTCTTTCTTTACACTCTGAGCTAGGCAACGACATGCCTGGTCGTACACGATGTTGGGTAGCGTTAAGCTTCTCTTCTATTCTTGCAATCCTACAGATGTGTGCAGACACTATGCTGCGTCTATTAATACTAACCAGCAGTAAACATACAGGAAGAAAGAGAGTACAAATCG